CTCCTTTTCTACCCCATTCCACCCTCTTTCGTTTCTCACAAGGAAACACCTACATTTTTATCTTCATTACTATTCGCAATTAACACATTACTCGCATTCGAACTATAAAGCCTATAAACAGAAATTAAGACCCGTGCGTCGCCGACCTTCCGGACGAATCTTTTGGTATCTATAGGGAAGCATAATGCGAGGAACGAGTCGACTGAAGCAAACATTTCTAAGTACCGCATGAAATTATCTAATTCAACGACAACCCTGATTAATAACAGGGTTAATGGCATAGATCGAATTAATGAAAATGAAAAATTTAATCCTAATTCGTATCGAACATATACACATCTGGCAAACATGAATGAACGAGCATCGAAGATACTCGTTAGCTTCGAATACACGTCTGGTTATTGATTCGGCATTGTCCAATCGCTAAGGACAAGCCAAACGATAAATCAAAATCGCGCTTTACAACGTGCGCTCGTTATTAGCCGCGGGTAGTCGACAAGCAGAGAATCGCGTTTTGTCCAACATTCGTCGATTAACTCGCGAATGATTGACTAATTCCCTGTTGCCTCTATACGAACGGCTTCGATAATCAGCGATACCGATAAACAGTAAAATAGAGATTGAGCTAAAACGAAAACTAACGCGTATCGATTAATTTGTAATAGAAAATATATCTATCTTTATACAAAGCAGCCTTGCAGGAGGCAACCTTGAGATGAATATTTACCGACGAACATGCTTTTTCCTTCTTCGAATACGTTGTAAGAATAATTACAATAAGTTAAGCTAGAAGAGGCGGTAAGTCTCGCGAGGGCGAGCTTCCAGCGAAATAATCGCCAGCTTAAATTGGACTAGGGAGCCCAGGCTGGAATCATTTATAATAAAGACTCACCGTTGTTGTTGCGCAGGATGGAACCAGGACTCGTTGCCTCGAGAGGGCTGCTGGGTTCTTCCGTGCTCGGCTCCCTCTTCACGCTGAAATGGAAACATCTATTATGTATTCAATCGAAGGTGAAGGGGGCGAAATCAGCCGAAAGTAGTCCAAGATCGACACGAAAAAGAGAGAGAGAGAGAGAGAGACTTCTCGAGCCAGGGTCGTTCGGTCCTCCGAATCGTTTTGTTCGCCGGATCCCTCCTTATCGTGTGCACCTCTGTTTGCGCGTAGCACAGGTCCTTTGACTACGGCCCTGACTCGATCCGTACAATCAGGGCTGACCCAGTTTTCAGTTCAATTTGCGCGGCTAACGCGCATTCGCCTTAAACCGGCCGAAAATGAAAATGAACAGCCGGAAAAACAGATCGTAGACGATCGTTACGACTTTTAATTGCACGATCCGTATAATAGCCTCGATGCTGAAGGATCTCCTCTGTGACTTTAGAGATTGAAAGAGATACCGAACTATGATGACGATCAAATTTCAATCTATTAAAACCTTCCAAATATAACATTCTAAAATTCTTTCCCGTCAGACTTAAATCTCAATCGTCTGAAGAAAATGTCCCATCGTTTTGCGGTATTAAAGGGAACCAGAAACTCGCGCGTTAACAAGTTCGAGACACTGTTTTTTCACTGACCCAGAAAAGCCGACGACAGATCGTATTAAAAGTTTGTCACGGTCTCGTGATTTTCTCGTCGGAGACAATGGTACTGAAAGGACGTGATAAGAAATTATATGTCCAATTCTAATACGGTCAGCTGTCGCGTTCTGAAAAAGTCGCCCACGCGCTCGTCGCAAATCGACGGATCGGAAAATTCTTCTCGTAAATATTTTCCCATTGTCTTTAGGGCTCGTTCGACGGTAGACAGCGGAGAGTCCATCGATAACCGATGGATACCTAAGAAGATGGTGCAAGAATCGAGATCTTTCGTGTCTGAAAAGGAATCCGGTTCCTCTATGAATAGATATCCTATTTCGGAATCCGGGATACGTATAATCGTACAGCAACCAATATCGCGACTACTTTCGATCGAAAAGTTGACAGAAAGTCATTCAAAACGCACTATTTGCGGTGCCGTCGATAGTTATTCAATTCGCGGGAATAGAACGAAATGGGTCATCTGAAAATATCCTTGCCTAAAATTGTTTAATCAGAGCTACGGTTGAAATTCTACAAAGGTCCAACCTTTATATTGTATTATAAAGAATTCTCTTAGTAGACGCGTAAAGGAAAAAGATGTTAATAACATCGTAAACACACTTGCCGGTTCACGCCGCGGGAGTGAAGTTTCATTTTGAAATAAGGATCGTGTGATGAGCGGGCGGAGATGGCACGGAAAGATATGGAAATGGATTTTCGTATAGCGGAAAAAATGAAAAAAGAAAGCTAGAAGTAGGTTAATGAATCAAAGAAGGCATCGCTGAAATGAATATCGTCACAGAAGGAAATTTCTACAGATAACAAATATGTACAGATGTTCGTGTCACCTGTACAGTAATTTTTATAAATCAAAGATGATGCTGAATACCGATGTCAATAACAAATGAGCTGTTAAAAATAGAAAATTTATGCAAATTAAGAACACGAAACACTAAAATGTTTTGCTTTATCCTTCGCGTTATATCGCCGCATATACATGCGCATATTATTGCTGTTTACATGGAAAACAGAATAATAATAGGTAATGAACACCCTGTACATGCATATTACGTATAAAAAAATAATGGATGGAACTGGCATGCACATTGATCCAGACTTAGGGAAACATTAACACATTCGGAACAACATATTGATTTCTATTTCGCTAACTATGCTGTAAAATGAAGGGAGTGCGTAACTTTTATTCCGAAACTCGCTTACACGATCTCTCTTTCGTGCTATACATAATGCATTCAATTAAATTTCTTTATTCACGCACTGTAAATCACGAAGCAGGTTTAACACCAGCTAAGATTTTCCAGACATTTACATGCGAAAACAATGACAACAAACGACGGAACATTAATTAACTTTTCAATAAAAGAAACTCGAGGTAAGGAATGAATAAAAAATGTTATTACTTTTATAGAAATTCAAACACGAAGGATGTTCGAATTATTTGGTCATTCGCGACGTTTGATCACTTGTATTTTTAAACTGCTTGAATAAAAAATAAAGCTGAACATTAGAGACCAGACGTGATGCTCTTAAAGTTTGAATTATTAAATGATACCTCTACAATCGTATGGAGTTTTAAAAATACAGGCACCACAGAGAACCTCTTCGTCATTTATCATAAGAGGGTGCTTTCAGAAATCATTTACCTACACAAAAATACTGAATCCAATGACATCCGCATATAACGTAAGAAACTGAATCATGGTCTGTTTGTACGCATAAGAATACTCTCCTTTCGAGACAACAGAGTGGACAAAAACACGCTGTGTGTCAAAGAAAACAATAAACCTGTAAAGTCCTTTGTGTATTCAATGAAAATAGTGTGAAGAAATTATTCACATTGCACCTATTGTAATGTTTATTGAATCAAATTTTTTGGATCCTTACCTGATGAAAGTCGAATCTGCCGCAGGACTGGAGGGTCTTGGCGAGGAACTTGCGTTGGATGCGGTATTGGTCTCCTCCACGTCCATCATCATTCATACCGACGATGACGGATCAATGCGAACGTCGAAAATAACGGATAATTTTAACTACGAGAAGTATGAGAATGAATTGAAAAGGGATGACCGTATGGAGGATGATTGATTTGTCAGGTCCGCCGGCCTCTTGACGTCCGATCCCGCGGGGACAGAAACCATAAAGTCGGGGAGCTTGACAAGGGGTTGGGGGTTGGTTTCATGCGCCCGTCCACGAGCGCGGACTTACGGAAAACAACTGACAACCGATGTTACCCCCACCGTAGGTAACCACTGCTCGGCGCCTGTACACCTGCGCCGCTTAACCTGCCGCGCAGGAGCATTGCCACTGCGCAGGCGTTCCATCGTTAAAATTACTGAAAACAAAAAAAACATGGAAATTCATAATACATATGTATTGTTTAAAAATCTATTTAACATTAAAATATCGAATAACATTTTCTAGGAGATCTTAGGAATATTGCTAAGGTTATTGTTAGTTAAAGCTAAATTAAAAGTTATATCTTTCTTACAGCCTTATGATACATTGGTTTTTCATTATTCCTTCTCCAAACTTTATCAGTACTTTAAATGTTATTTAGTGCATCATAAAAATTACATTTTTAAGTCAGTAATGTATCTTGACCTTCTTGTTTTGAATAGATACATTTCCTTTCTATTCAATTAATGTTACACTTAATTTAGATATAATTTAATCTTTAAACATGCAATAAATATCATTTAATATTGATAAGTTATTTATTGTATTAATGACGTACCCTATGAAATGTTCACTTCCTAAATGCAGATCTTTCATGAATATTAATAATAAATGTTTCATTATGCGTTCTTTCATGTTACTTTCTACAATAGCAGTGATTACTGACGTCAAAGACTGGACACGCCTTTGATTGCGAGAGATCATGATTTTGGGGTCCCAGACACCCCCAGGCACAGTTAGGTCTGCATGTATAACACAGTCGGTATGACAATCGTGCCTGTTTTACCAGGCCCTCTTTTACCGCACCTCGCATAGACTATGGAAAAGACACAATTTTGAGTCCCTTTGACTTTTTTATAAATTAATTAAAACTAGTACATAACCGAAACATTATTGAAATAATTGTGAGACAAACTTGTATTCACTTCATGCACTTTGGTAAATAAATCATTTTAAAAAAGCAACTGAGTTATTTATTTAATTTACCCAATTTCCGACGTGATTTCTTTCCTCAATTATTTGCTTAATTGACTTAAATTCTCCTCTTATTTTATTTATTCAATGTACGTAACTTCTTTTCACAGTACACATGAAAATCAAACTTATAACACAGTAATTACTTCTCAATATGAGAAATTTGATTTGGGGGTATTGCAATCTGGTAAGTTGGACAAGTGGCAGTAGTGACGCCAGTGGCGCTGTTGTAGAATATTAAATTCAAAAGAACAACGGTTGATCGTGTCTCGACGAGTAAAGTTTGTTCCAACTAATATATATGCGTCTAGTCGTCGAAAGTATTGAAGAGTATTTAACAGAAGTTGTAAGTTGGTTCATTAAGCTTCGTAATTTAACGTTAAAATAATGTCGGATATATCGAAATGGGAATCAATAGTGCAGGAAACTATTGTAAAACTTCGAAGTGCATTCTCCCATTTAAACAAAATATGGGAAGACATAGGATTCAACGAAGAAACCTGTACTGTATATTGCGAACAAGCATCCAATCACATAAAGACTCTATTAAATGAAATGGTTTCCGAATCAGAGTCAAAGAAAGATATAATCTTAAACAACGTTAAAGAACTAATGGAACAAATCGCTGTATTATCAAAAGAATTAGGAACGGATGTAGCGATTAATGGATATGAGGAATTACCATTAAAAGAAATAGAGCAAGTACTTATCACAGATCTACATAAATTACAATACTGCAAGGAACAGCGTATGGTACGTTTAAAAGAATTACTTGCAAAAGAAAGACTTCTTTGTAAATCATTGGGCACTCAACCGATTAATATAGAAGAGAAATTACCTTCTGAGGAAGAAGTTAACAGTTTTAAACTTTACCTTGAAAAACAAGAAGCTGAGAAAAATCGTTTAGAAGCTATGTTTAAGGAAATGCGTAGAGCAGTTGTTATAATGATGGATGATTTAGGTATATCACCATCTACAAATTTTGAACATTTAGTATATAAGGATAGTGAGAATTTTGTATTTAATAGTAGTAACATGAGCAAATTGAGGGAACTTAGAGATGAACTTAAACATCAAGTAGATCAAGCAAAGGAACATGTAGAAGATATTAAACACGAATTAATTGCATTATGGAAATATCTTGATGAACCTCAAGATATTTGCCAATCATTTCTTAATAGCTATGTAGGATATAGTGTTGCAACCATAAATGCATTGGCATCAGAATTAGAACGATGTAAAGAAAAAAGAAGACAAAACATTGCCAAATATGTAGCACAAGTAAGATCTGAATTGGCTAGGCTATGGGACTTATGTAAATTTAGCGAACAACAAAGAAAACAATTTATACATTATAATTCTGATACATATACAGAAGACTTATTAACTTTACACGAACTTGAAGTAAAACGAGTTCAAGAGTTTTATGAAGCCAATAAGTCTATATTTGAACTTTTAAAAGAACGTGATAACTTATGGATAAAAATGAAGGAATTGTTGCAACGCGCGAATAATCCCGATCGATTTTATAATCGTGGAGGTCAATTGTTAATGGAAGAAAAAGAACGTAAAACAATCCAGAAAAAATTGCCGAAAATAGAAGAGCAACTTCAAAGTTTAATAAAAGAATATGAAAGTCAGCATGGTGAAGTATTTACCATAAATGGGGTGTCTATAGAAGAATTGTTACAAGAATCATGGGAACATCTAAATGAAGAAAAAGAAACAATAAAGCAAGCAAGAAAAGAAGCAAAAGACAAATCAGTGAAAAAAGTAACATTAAGTGCCTCTAAAAAGGCTGCTTCAAGTTCAACAAAGAAAACTCCAACTGTATTAAGTACGCGACATCATACGCCGCTTAGTTCATCAAAGAGAAAACTATTATTTACTGCTTCTCCAAATGCCACAGCAAAACGTAGAAATGTATCCATAGTAGGTAGTGGATCTAAACTTCGAAAAAGTGGAAGAATTGTCAAGAATACACGATGCTCCGGAAATAAAAATTCTGAGAAGGAAAACTCAATATCCCAAAGTTCATTAGATACAACTTATAGTCAGTTTAAAGAACACTTGAAAGATAAACAGGAATTACGTAGCTCTTTATTATCAGAAAAAGTATTATTCAATGCAAATAAATCTAAAATGAGGACCCCAGTAAGAACACCTGTTAAACCATCAAGAAAAAATTTGTTAACTCCAACAGGTGTGGCAACAGGAACACCTTCAAAGTTCCCACAATCACAATTGCATAGATCACCTCGAAGTCCCAGAACTGCACAATCATCAACAAGGCTTGCAGTTACAACACCCTTACCCATAATATTTTAAAGCCCATGTAAATCTATAAACAAGTATTTTTTACTTTCATAATTTTGTTAGTACAAACTTTATTACCTTATTTATAGTTAAACAATATTTTAAATAATATCAATTTTAATTACTACTTGATCAAAATAATTGTATATTACATAGTTGTACTAGCAAGCAGTAATGCATTTTATGTCGTTTCTTTCTTCTGTATATTATTAGTTTATTAATGTCTTTCATATTTTTATTTCAACTTGCTATATATCCATATGTATTTAGTATAACACAACTAACTATTGAATTGTAATTGTATACATAAGTTAGTGTATCAATGAAAACAAGATGTAAATAAAATACTCATTTCATTAACACTCTAATGTATGTGTATGTTTATTAAAAAAAGTAGTATATCCTCAAATTATTAATATTGGCAGTAGTTATACAGGGATCTCGCTGTATCGAAGTACTTAGACATGTGCATGGCTACCATGTATGTATACTTGATGTCACGAGAGTCCATAACTAAGTGCGCAGGTTGGAAGATGGCGGGAGAACGCAGCGATGGTGGGGGAAAGCGATCCGCCAATCGCTTTCCACTTCCGCTAGAACTATCGCCAATCAGAGCGACAATGCGCAGAAAAGAACGAAAACTGGTCTTTTCGCAGTTATGGACTCTCGTGACATCAAGTATACATGTACATATATATTTGTAGGGATATTTTATATATTTTGGTGGCAACGTGTAAGCGGCCAGTGTATTTCATTTTAGAACTATTTGCCAATCGTTACTCGTATTTCTAACCAATTATTACAAGATCCCGTCTTTCGTTTTCTTCTGGAAAAGTCAGCCGTGTACTTGAGTGTCTTTTACTGTCAGAACATTTCACTGTTAAAGAGATTAAAGAAAGATGTTCGGGTCAGGGGCTGCTTCGATCGTAGTTTTAAGTGCGTTAAAAGAATAACGTTCTTAATTTTCATTTGTTTAGATATTCAATTGCAATATTTCCTTTTTCATGATGTTTCGTGCTTTGATTATTGCAGGTCCAAATACCAAACGGGATACCGGCCGGAAAGTACAGAGAGAAAATATTCAAGCCGGAAAAGTAAGTTTATAATATATGATTTAATGTATTGCCCTTTTAAGGTACTAGTTCAGTCATTGGTACATACGCCCACGTGTATTTTTTCGTGCAAAGTGCCTTTTTAATGTTAACAGCGATACTAATAATTGAATTTGTAATTAGTGTGAAGATTATTCATAAATGTACTTTTTTTTATAAAGGCTATTGCAGATGTTATTAGAACATGTTTGGGACCCCAAGCAATGTTAAAAATGTTGATGGATCCAATGGGAGGTATAGTTATGACCAATGATGGGAATGCTATATTACGTGAAATAACAGTACAACACCCTGCTGGAAAATCAATGATAGAAATAGCTAGAACTCAAGATGAAGAAGTTGGAGATGGTACCACATCGGTTATTGTATTGGCAGGAGAAATTTTAGCTGTTGGTGAACCTTTCCTTGAACAGAATATGCATCCAACAGTTATAATAAGAGCATTTCGGCAAGCTTTAGAAGATATGGTGACCATTCTGAATGAACAGATCAGTGTGGATTTAGATCGCAATGATAGAAGCAAATTAATCCAGGTTATAAATTCTTGTGTTGGAACTAAATTTATTGGTCGTTGGTCTGAGTTAGCATGTCAGATTGCTTTAGATGCAGTTAATACTGTAATGCTTGAGGAAAATGGCAGAAGGGAAATAGATATAAAGCGTTATGCAAAGGTAGAGAAGATTCCAGGTGGCAGTGTTGAAGATAGTACTGTCCTTAAGGGAGTAATGTTCAGTAAAGATGTTACCCATCCAAAAATGAGACGTTATATTAAAAATCCAAGAATAGTTCTTTTGGATTGTTCCTTAGAATATAAAAAGGGTGAATCACAAACTAATATAGAAATAATGAAAGATACAGATTTCACCAGGATTTTAGAATTGGAGGAGGAATATGTTAAAAAAATATGCGAAGATATTATTGCTGTAAAACCTGATGTAGTGATCACGGAAAAAGGAGTATCAGATATAGCCCAACATTATCTTGTGAAAGCTGGAATTTCTGCTATTCGAAGATTGAGAAAAAGTGATATTAATAGAATTGCGAGGGCTTGCGGGGCTACTGTTGTTAATCGTACGGAAGAATTACGAGAGGAAGATATTGGTACCAAAGCTGGTCTTTTTGAAGTCAAGAAACTTGGAGATGATTACTTCTGCTTTATTACTGAATGTAAAGATCCTAAAGCATGTACTATAATTTTGAGGGGTGCTAGCAAAGATATACTAAATGAAACTGAAAGAAACTTACAAGATGCTCTTCATGTTGCCAGAAACCTTCTTATTGAACCTAAATTAGTACCAGGTATTTTAACATTTAATTACTTTCTATTGAAAATGTATATTAAGGTTTTTGATTAATATATAATTATAATGTTTGCTATAGGTGGAGGTGCAGTAGAGATGGCAGTATCAAGACTTCTGACAGAAAAAGCAGGAAGGCTTGCTGGTGTGGAACAGTGGCCGTACAAAGCTGTAGCACAAGCACTAGAAATAATCCCAAGAACTCTTGCACAAAACTGTGGAGCAAACACAATTCGAACCTTAACTGCATTACGTGCAAAGCACGCTACTGGAGGAGTGACATGGGGTATTGATGGAGAAACTGGTCAATTGGTTGATATGAAAGAACGTGGTATTTGGGAGCCTTTATCTGTGAAGTTACAGACATATAAAACCGCTATCGAAACTGCCATTTTATTGCTAAGAATTGATGATATTGTATCAGGAAGTAAGAAGAAGAAATCAGATAACGAGCCTACTCCACCTGCACAAGTTTCAGAAGAATCCATGAAGGAGTAGAAATGTTTAATTTATATTGCACTTAAAAAGCTTTTATTTGTGTTAACATTTAATAATTCATGCCCACGATAGTTTTATTAAAACATAATTCATATTCACGGAAAGCATTATTTCTCTGCTTGTATGCATTTTCATATTAATAAAAGTATTGTACTTTGATGAAGTATTGAAGTTTGGTATATGTACTGTATGTGTCTATATTATTTTCAGTATGCTGATTCCTTATCTGTAATAAACTAATAATATATATTTTCATAAGTAGTAACTAATTTATTTAATGAAAATGTATTTTATAAAATCATTAAATACATATTAGCGATATTTCATAAATAGTATTCTTTTACGACTGTACCGATATCTTATGATAATCTTTAAATAGAATCTTACATTATTATTTGCTTAATTTTCATAAAAATTTAACTTGGGTAAGTATGAAGAAGGAAAATTTCAATTGAAAGATATATAAAAAATGAAAAAGTTATAGTAGTTGTTCATTGTATAGTAAGTCTCTGAGTCACAGCATTCGTTTGCAATTGAAATTATAGGTAGTTAATGACAATTAGTGATACGAAAATGAAGCATCATGATTTAAAAAATTATCGGTTCTACAAAATCATGTATGGAATTTTAAGGAAGGTGGCGTTTCACGCAATACAGGTATGTATCGATTGTATGTGTGGGGTGGCCGGCATGAGTGAAGGCCGACGAATGGGACACAATTTTCGTAACGGCTCTTTGCGAAACTTAAAACTGTTCGGATAAACCGGGATAAACTGAACGATGAGCATGAACGTGAGATGATGCCAGGCACGTCTCGCCAATTAGGAACTTTGAACGGTAGTAAAATCCTATTTTCTTTTTAACTGTTTTTTATCTCTGTATGCAATATTGTATCAATGTTTCTGTTAAGGCTGGCAGATGTTCAATAGTTTTTTACAATTCAATACAATTGAGGGATGCAAAGCGTGCCAACAACGTTTTCAATATACGAGTATTGTCTTTATAGTAAGATTACATCCACGTGGTTAAACGTATACGGAAGTGATTTCCGTATCTGTTTACTACGAGATTGACAGGTGTCTACGTTTTGTTAGTTTCAGATATTGGTTGTAAATAAATAATTGTTACTCAATATTTTGTACCTATCTGTTAAGGAAATTCATAGAAAATATTTTTTGTTACTGTTTCTTTATAATAATAGAAATTTTTAGTTAGTATTCTTTGAAACAAGTTACGAATTCTATTGTAATCACAACTGTGTATAAATATCAATTTATTAATTAGGTCCTGAGTGGGACACATTGATGGAGGTTCATCATGAACCAATTGAGAAAAACTACAAACTATTGGAAGAAATTGGCAAGTAAGTACTTACAATAATCATTTTTTAAATAATAGTAAGTATGTGTTGTTTAATTACTAATCTATTACAGAGGACAATTTGCAATAGTACGAAAATGTATGGAAATAAAGACTGGGGAGTTATATGCTGCCAAAATTATGAGAAAAAGACGCGTTGCCAGAGGTGTGGCAGCAGCAGATATTGGTAGCTATCTTTACTTTTACATTTATTATTCTCTTTTTGTACAGAGAAATATTAATTTTTCATTTTAAGCTCGAGAAGCAGGTTTATTAGCAAGGCTAAGGCACCCAAATATTGTTTCATTGCACAAAGTTGTAGACACAGGCACAACAGTTGTTTTACTCTTAGAATTAATTTCTGGAGGGGAACTCTTTCATTGGGTACCATCTGGTGAATTAGAAGCTGCACATGTGGTTTGTAACTGTTATAGTTACATTTATAATTTCAACAAGAATCTGAATAACAAATCTAATTTCAATCCTATTTTTCTATAGGTTCGACAAGTTTTAATGGCACTTAATCATTTACATTCTCATCAAGTTGCTCATTTAGATATCAAACCTGAAAACATTCTTTTATCAACCCCTCCACCAATGCCAAGTATAAAGTTAATAGGTAATTTTCAACCCTATGAATTTGTTATTAAAGCTTATACATGGATTAAAAAAAGAGTTAAATAACTACATATAACTTTTTTTTAATACAGATCTAGGTCTTTCGCATAGACTGATACCTGGGTCTGAACACAGAGCACTATTTGGTACACCTGAGTTTGTAGCTCCAGAAATTGTAAATTATGAACCACTCAGTTTAGGAACTGATCTTTGGGCAGTTGGTGTTCTAACATACATTCTTTTAAGTGGTGCATCACCATTTTTAGGTGAAGATAAACAAGAAACTTATGCAAATGTTGCTGCATGTCAATATCAATTTGACAATGAATATTTCAGTACAGTATCTGAAATTGCCAAAGACTTCATACGATCCTTGTTGATCAAGGATCCAAAGTGAGTACAAGAGATGTTAGGCCAATAAGATCGATTTAAAACACAATTAAGTAATTATGTAAAATTTGTTTTTCAGAGAAAGAGGAACTGCAGAATCGTGCCTTAAACATCCTTGGATCCTCACGGTCTGTTCCTGAATGCAATATTATACTTTTGTTTGTAATAACCAGAGCTGATTATAATTTACATTTTCAATCGCTCACATTGTTTTTTTTTATTTGCATGAAATAATGTTTATTTATTCACATGGTGTGACTAGAGTTAGTATCGTTTGTACAGTCACACATTGTATGTGTTATTTTTTTCATTGAATGTATTAAGTTAATATTCGTATGCATCTTATATGTACTGACCATATATTGTAGCATAAATAATAACAAAACACAATAAGTATAAAAATATATATTTGATATCTATATTTTTTTTGTTATTCTATAGGAATCAGAAGCCTCTCAAGGTCTTGGTGAAGCTATGATTAGCGCTGTTAAACGAGGCTGTATTGAGGCTGTTTCTCAGTTATTACTGCAAGGAGCACCATTGAATGTAAAAGATTCTGTGAGATTCTCTTTATATTATACATACTTTAAACTATGTATAATGTGGATAAGGTGTTGAACAGTTACTTTTCCTCAAATAGAAAGAAGACACACTTTTACACCTTGCATGTGAAACAGGAGATGAAGGAATGGTAACTTTTTTAATAGAAAGTGGGATAGATCTGGATACCCCTAATAAAAAAGGCTTAACACCACTACACGTGGCTGCTAGGCATGGTTTCATTAATCTTGTTAGACATTTGTGCCTTGCCGGTTGTGATGTTGACAAGACAAATCGAGGAATTAGGGCTGATGTAACAGCAATTAAATACGGACATCCTGATATTGCATCACTATTGGATAAGCTTCGAAACGTATGTGTTATGGAATAATATATTTATTAGTACTTATATTTTGTACTAATGTTGATTTCAATTGTAGCCTATTCAACGCGAAAATTACATTAAACAGCTACAACCAACACACAGACCAATAGATCGTTTACACATAAGACTTTTGGGGCACTGTGCATCGGGAAAATCATCTTTAATAAATTCTTTAAAATCAGGAATTTTTAGTTTCGGATTCTTTAGAAGATCAAGAAGTCAGAACTATACAGCAAAGGTAGTTATTCTCAGTTACAATCTATCGAGGATTTATTTATTTAATTAAGATGTTTATGAAAATCGATTATTTCCGTTTAGAGGGAACCAAGCATTGAACTAGATGTAACTAGCAAGCATGGTTCACTTAGTTTTGAATATAGCGACAATGAATACGAAGGTACACAAGGAGTAGATTGGAGCCGCGGTAACGTAGGTAAGGAAAATAATCCTTCAAGTCTTTTTCAAGATAATACTAAAAATACGAATCGTTAAGGCGAATTTAATCCTTAAGGCGGAGAATGTATCTTTTGGGAATTATGCGGTCGCGAAGACTTTTTAGCATCTTATCATTATGTTCTTACTTTTCAACAACCTGCCGTACACCTTATCACAGTTAGCCTTAGAGAACCTCTCACTGTGCAACTTCAGCAAGTAAAATTTTGGTTGCGATTTATCACAGATCGTATCGCGCCTACTAATTTTGGTGAGTTTAATTAATCATATCTAATGTTGTAGTATGTGTGAATCTGTTTTACTAAATATATTTTTATAACATAGGTTTCGGTGGCAAATACAATGATGTTAAAGTAATCTTAGTTGGAACTTATGCTCCCGAACCTCTTGCTCCAAATTCAAATAGTGGTAGTCTACTTGCTCCACTTTTACCTTTTTTGAAAGAGTTTACACCAGTTTTGGGAGATGAACCTCAAATGGTCGCAGTAGATGCAACTAACCCTTCTAGTCCTGGTCTAAAACTTCTAAGATCTTACTTGAATAATGCAAGGATGGAATTTTTAGAGGTGAAGTGATTATATGATTTATCAAAGTTATTACACTTTTCACATTATTTACACATACTACAAGACAATTTTTTGTTATTATTCATCATTGTAAAACATATAATAAAAAAAAAAAAAAAAAAAAAATAACGAGTCTCTCAGTCTTAACCGAGATTTTTAAGCAATTTGTATTAATTTGAAAAAAAGTCAAGCTCGGCTAATCGTGTTAACGAGAACTATATTAATAGCAAATGTGATTTACACTAAAAAATCTCAACTGGAAACCTAAGTCTTTAATTATTTCATGCTTGGTTGCACGAGCGACTCGTTCAGTCCAGTCATATTCTAGCTTGAAACTAATGTAAAATACACTGAACATAAAAAAATTCAGGTTCACTTAAATATATTTGTGTACATAATTATACTTCCACATTTTTTTACAGGAATAACGCCACTGTTTGTACAGCATGCAATAAATGTGTGCATTAACATTTTCAAAACGATTCTAATTAGAATCGGATCATTTCATTTTGCATAATGCTAATTACATTTGTACTATTCACATCTATTTAATTTGAAATCCTGCAATGTTAATACCATGTTGAACAAAGTATTGATTTCTAAATATAATGCAAACATTTTTGTTAAAGTTATGATTCAGTAATCCATGGTCATTCATGATGCATGGTTCATTCAATACACGTACAAGTAACTAAGCTCACCGAAAATAATATATTTCGTATTTTTCATATTTTTCAATTAAAGAAGTTATTTACAACATTTAATTAAGCACATTCCTTGAAAATGAAGAAAGAAAATACATCAAATTTTTTATATCTGCTATCACTCTATCATATGATCAATTTACTAACAACATATATTTTAGTTGCTGATTATTTGGTCATTAACGTTTATTAACATCAGCCTTACTGCATGCAATGCATGATGTAGGAAGGACCGGAAGTTGCAGAAAGTATTCTTCGACGTGACACGCCGCGGGCCGCGGCCTCGTATGTGCCCTTGGCGAATCTTGATAAACAGGTCGAACTATTTCTCAATTCCTTTGATAAAAGTGATGCGTATAATGAAGCTGTAATTTATTTAATAACTGCTCTAATGCTTTATTCCATTAATACATACATGCACTACTGTCCAATGCAATTAAAGAATAAAAAAAACTACCCTTGTATATATTTTCTGCATCAGTGTATTATTTCATATTTTTTCTATTATATTTTATCAGTAAAGATGCAAATATTTTATTATAGAGTGCATTAGTGTGGACTGGTCTTGCCGAAGCTTGGAGGTCGTATGTTCAATCTTTAGAGGTACCTCTGGTAATGCTTACACAGGAAGAATTTTTGAGGGAAGTGAGAAAAATTAATCCGTTAGTTTGTTTAGAACATTGTAGACATCTTGGACTACAGTTACAGGTTTGTGTTTTTACCATGATATTTCAATCATTTATCGTTTATTCATAATATATTATGTAAGTGTTAATTCTCAGAATTTAGGAGAATGTATGCTTCTTCCTGGAAATTTAATAGTGTTAAGTCCAGAGTGGTTTTGGCAGGATGTAATAAATTGGCAGTTAAGTCCTGAACAAAGAGGACGTCTCGGAGGTCGTACAACAGGAGTTTATGCTTTAGAGGATTTTCAGGCTCGTTGTCCTTGTCCTGCAGGCCAGGCCTTGCAAGCTTTGCAAGCTGTGAATTTATGTGTTCCGGTAGGTATAATTAATATAGCTTTTATGCTTTGCTTTATAACTTAACAAAGTTACGTTTCAGTGCGAAGTGGACGATGATGAAGTGGAATATGAGATACCCTGTTTGAATCTCGTTGAACGTTTACCAGGATTATGGGAACCATGGAAACCGTGTTCCAATATTTTACCTCATACCGGTCTTCGTCTTTCTCCATCCGAAGCACCTTTGTATCATTTAATTGCAATATTCCCACACTTGCAAGTACGTGAAAGTAATAGTAAATAATTTTACTGTATTATAAGATTATAACGAATGTTTGAATACAGTCACAGTTAAGGAAGATCACTCAATCGTGGGATCCATCAAATTCAGATTTATATCAATGGTGGCGAGGATCAAAATTATGTATCGGACCTTGCGAAAGTATAATCACTTTCGAAGATGAAGATCAAAGTTACGTAGAAGTAAGAGTACGCGGACCACGAGGTACCAGCGCTCAGTGTTTCGCTCTTCTCAGTATTATTCTTGATGCTGTTGAGACAACCATAGAATTAGTTGCTCCTGGGATGTTACTTGAAAGACATTGGTTAAGTCCTAGCCAGCTTCGGGAGTATGACGAAGTTAGTTTCGGTCATAAATACTTTTAATATAAAATCGTGTCAATAAAATGTGTTATTTAAATGTTCTTCTGTGAAACTTCATAGATTATACATTCTTGGGAACCAGCGCCGATGATATCCGCTTTGATAGACAAAGGTCTTGAAGAAGCAACTCTTAAAAATCCTTTGAACGGTAAAGAAGAAACTGTATGGGAAATAGTAGGATGTGGATTACCGTTGATAGAAAATTGTCTTCCTGGACCAAAACAGCCAATCAAGTACATCAAATCTGCTGTTCAAAGAAGATTAGCGCAGATGTTGGATCCTCCTGATCGTCACGGGAGAGACTGGTGTTTACTCGCTGTAAGACTTGGTTTGGGAGATCGAGTTGCTCAGTTAGATAGCACAGTAGATAGTCCAACGTTGAGGTAAGTAAAACTTTTCTTGACGAACCGAATGATCTTTTATTATATACTTAATCTTATGTTTTACAACGTTCACTTTTCGTCAGGTTACTTAACAATGCTGGCGCTGATTGCACTGTAGGTTCTTTAATACTACAGCTTCGAGCTCTTGATCGTGAAGATGCTGTACATCTTTTGCTTTCTTATACACCAACATACATATTATCAACAGGTACTGATTCCGAAACAGGATCAAATCTTTCCAGATGACAATGTTGCATTTATCAATGGTGCGTTAATACTTTTTAAAGACGGATTTCTGAAGCAAATTTTTTCCCATACGATGGGTTTGATAGACTTATTACATCACTGCTTCCGCCCAAACAGTAAATTGTGCATTGCTCTTTAAGCTAAGTACGTGCATTGTAATAGTACATTTTCTGTGTACTTCCTTAGAAGTATATTAAAATGCACACGCACTGATATGTACTTTTGTATACAAAATATTAGAATGCACTTTGAGTGGCACAAATTTCATTTAACTTGTTCTTTTTATTATTAAGTACTTACGTACATTTTGTATTTGAAAAGTTGCATAATTTACACGAATTTGCATGTGTTTTCTTATGAACTTTTATAACACATGATAATTTAAGTATATTTGTTAGCATAACAAGAAAGTATTTATAATTCTACGTTTCTGTTAGGTTTTGAAATATTTACTTAACAAGATTTATTACAAACGAATAATTTTTAATAACTAAAGTTTCATTTTTAATTTTAAAGTCTACTCGTAAGCATTTGTATTGTGATATTACATTAATTGCATCTTTCATCGAGTTTCTTAAGTGAATTTATATTAGAGAAATAATTCTAAGTAATATGTGTACACACGTGTGACCCATACGAAAATGCATTTACACACTATAAAACACGATACTATCGTATTTGATACTAATATTGTTTTGAAAGCTTTTCTTGATATGCATATATACTCTACCATGCCAAAACTCAGTGTCAATACGCGCTGCTTTCTATGATATTTAGAAACTATTTACGCGAGAAAAAGGAGTGAAACAGTTCGCACAATTATTTGCTTTTTCTACATCTATGGAAGCTCTATTCTTACGTGGATATATCTTTTACTAAATCGACATTCCTGCGATGTTTGTTATGTGCCATAAACGATACTTGCTCATCGTATCTATTAAAGCGTTCAAACATTTCTCTGAACTATCAAAATTGATCCTTTTTTTTTTATATGGAAACTAAGTACTTTCTCATTAACAAAGCCGAAGCTTGCAACACGAAGGATCACTTGTTCAACAAATTTCAGTAGTTGTTTTGTAAATTTAAGAACATTAAAACATGGTGCACCGTTCGTATGCGACACGCATGGATATTATATCATTAAACCAGTGAAGTTTGTTGTTCGTGGAGGATTTATTCTTTGAACATGTGTCTATTATGTAATCTCCACTATTTAAATGTAACGTGTTAAGTAGAGTATCGTTTGTATTCTTACTTTACCTAACACGACGTTTGATACAGATCTTGAAACACGCGAAAATGTTTCTTTGTATTAGAAAAATATTTGTAAGGTGTATCTAAGATACTTCTGTTATCTCTGTGTTCTATTTCTATGTACGTGTTTATTGTGAAATGAACATTTATTATACACCCTATAAAGTGATACAGACTTTTGGTACTGATGTACTTTTCTAAATTAGTACTTTTCAAGTATGTACGCATTTCTCACGCACTGTGTTCATCTTACATTTACACGTTGATGTTCAACACGCTGAATTTTCTAATGTTTCCTGTTTGCTAATCGACTGTTTTCGCACTTTATACGTATGATTCTGTAAAAATGTTCGATTGAAGATTTTCAATCGCTTGGTATTTGTTAATTAATTGTACGACGTTGTTTATTCGTTTTGCAATCTCGTTGAAACAACAGCCGATCTTTGTAACGACACATTCGATTTCTCTAAATACGCAAATTTTAGTATTTGCATTTCATAATGTTTGCTTAGTACAACGTAGGAGTAACGACATAAGCGTTAATTAAGGCGAAATTTAACAGCACGAAGGTTCGCGCAGAATAATAAATTCTAAGGCTACGATAAATCGTTGTTATTTATATATCTTGTAATAAAAAAGAAACGCTAGAACAATAGAGATTTTCATTTTGTTGTAATTAATAGAATTTACATTTTTCTAGTTTTTATAATAACTTCGATGTCATACGAAATTGCCCTTTCTAAAACTGGCCTGTAAATTCGCTTCAAAAAACCTAACAAACCTAACTAATTAGTTTGATGAACTGTGTCATTAGCAAATCGATTTCGTAAGATTGTAATCAAAATCGACATAGAAATATCGTGTTAGCGTTCCCTTGAACATTAAAAAATATTGACGGGTAAAAGAGTTACTGTTAAATAGAAATATCTCTATAAGTTTCTAAAACGTAACGTAAATTAGATTAAGAAATCGTGCTCTTAAATTAAACGCTGTTAAAGTGTCAAGAATTTGCGTGCCGTTTGATTTAATAGAATGTACTTAAGTTTCTTGTCGGAACCTTTGTGAAAACATCTGGTCGATGGTAGTGAAAGCTAACACGAATTCTGTATAACAATTATACGCTGCGCATTTATTTGTAATTACAAGAGATAAGAAATACATTAGCCGAATGAATGTGTAATTATTCCTTTTATACTAGAGAAAAGATGTCAAATAAAATTACGTTGCTTCATAAGCTAGCTTTGGTTCGTTCCAAATTCACCGTGTCTTCTACGTTTCTTTTGCAATAAACAAATGGAATATCGAATGGAAAATACTTCAATTCTTGAAATTCGTACCATTTACAGCAATTGCAATAACGAGGATAGAATTGCCGCGGTTTCGACGCGTTACCAAAGCATGGACGCTTTCGCGCATCGATTCGATATATCGATCGAAGTCGGCCGGGTGAGCGGGAAAATTCAAATATTCGAAACGGAACGCGACTTATCCCAAGGCACGGTGAACGAAATTTTTAATAAATCGCGAAACAAAAGCAGAAATGTTTCTCGGTATGGTGTTTATCGTAGAGGTATGGTTACGTGGTCGATAGGAAACAGGAACGGAATTCTTTCGAGACGAGAATAGCATAAGGGAGGTGGAGATCGCGTTTCGTTGGTGGCCACTGCAGCGAGTAGAAATCAGCCAGTGAAGAGCCGAGATAAAATCGGGACGACAGCCAACAAGGCGACAAGCAATTATAGAATTGGATTGGATCGAGAAGTTCGAGGAGGCTCGCGACGCCGGTTTCGTTTTATTTTAGCTTAGCTTTCGAAGGCATCCGGTTGTGCATTCTCATCGCGGATCATCGCCACGATTACAGTGAGTGTTGTCCCCCTTTCACGTCTAACTTCTGTGTCCCTTCCGTGGTATTTGTTGTTAAACGTTGTTTAGCGGTGAATAGTGAAACTGTCGAATTTCACAGCGTTGAAGGGCCGACCAGGAGATAATTGATAAGAAGAAGAAGCGCGAATCGTCATCATGGAGGCGATTAAGAAGAAGATTGCGGCGTTGAAGCAGGAGATGGACGCCGCGAACGAGAAGGTTGAAGCGAATGAAACTAAACAGAAATTGGAGAACATGCGAGCGGATACATTAAACGACGAGGTAAGGGATCTGCAGAAGAAACTGGCTCAGTTAGAGCGAGATTACGAAGTCGCCAAGGCTAATTTAGATCGATCCACGGCCGATTTGGAGCAATGCGAAAAATCTTGGTCCAGGGTACGTAAAAATACGCGTTAAATCGATAGGAAGAAAGTTTAACTGAAAAGTAATCGACGAATCTCGTAAAACAGGCAGAACAAGATCGAACAACGTTGACAAAAAGAGTGCAAGAAATCGAGGCGTCGCTTACGAAGAAGGAGGAGCTGCGTCTCACTGCTCAGACGAAGCTTGGACGTGCCTCAGAGCTTGCGGATGATGCGCGAAGGTTTCATTTCGTATACTCAATTTTTCTAACCGATCAGTGCAAATTGAAATGCGTGAATTTATTTCTTTTCATCTCAGAATGTGCAAAGTGTTGGAAGACAGAAGTCGTCTGGACGAGGAGCGTACGGAGAAGTTGATGCAGGAATTAAAGGACGCTAGATTAATAGCGGAAGACGCGGATGCAAAGTCTGAGGAGATCTCGAAGAAGTTGCAGCTCGTCGAAGAGGAATTGGAGGGCGCCGAGGAGAGGGTGAAAACCAGCGAGGCGTTTGTATAATTACGTTACCTTTTCTTTTTCTCTTCTTCTCGCGGCTCTTCGTTGATACGTACGGTGTATACGTTTTTGTAGGAAAATCATAGAACGAGAGGACGAGCTGTTCATCGTGCAGAATATCGTGAAATCCTTAGAAGTATCCGAGGAAAAGGTATCTTAATTTTCATTCGATTATCTTTCATTTCTATTTGAAAAATGAACAATTTCTTCGTCTAGGCTAATCAACGAGTAGAAGACTTTAAACTACAACTGAAGGAGCTGAAGAAGAAATTGAGGGCGGCCGAGAAGCGCGCCGTTATGGCTGAGAGGACGGTGAAGAAATTGTTGAAGGAGGTCGACACGAAGGAAGGTAAAGGATCGGACGCGTTATCGATGTTGATTTCTTTATTTCTTCAAATAATTCTTCCGTTTCAGACGAACTCAGAGAAGAAAAGGAGAAGTACAAGGCGGTCTGCGACGACATGGACGCGACGTTCGCGGAAATGACAGGATATTAATACCACTCGAACGGGCCGAGTTCCTTTTTATTTTTGCCATTCTGTGCTTCCGCTTATTCGCTACATTTAACAACGAACGTTGTTACATCGGTCGGCTGTGCCTCAGCTACGCTGGCTTCATTCGTTATAGTGTATCGTGGACCAGTTTATGGGGCTTCATGAATAACTTGCTACGCAAATTCTGCAATTAACACGATGAATAAAGAGCGCACACTGCTAGTTTCCTAATAAAATTGCTTTGCTTCGCTTAACACCACGCCAAGGCTGCGGGTCCGGTGAAAACTGGCCCTTTAGTTGCTTTCAGAAACGATCGTCTCTTTCTTCCCGATTGATTTCACGATTCCGGTTATTTTTCTTTCAGAAACGTCGAAGAAGAATTGCTGATCACGAAAGCAAGATACTGCGCCCCCTTTTTATCATTATCTCTCAAATCTGTATTTTCAATAAATGGTATTTAAAAAAAAATATACATCGCTCTAATTAATCAGTGTTTTCCACACCTTGTTCCTCCACCTATGCCTCAAAAGGATATCAAAGTAAATTAGGAATTCTTTTACCATTTTGTAATCTACAGATTTAAGTGATTAAAAATTGGCTGTGCAATTCTCGAGTCACCCATAGACCTTTATGATCTCTTATTTTTACCTTTGAAATAATTTCTATAGAAGAGAAATATAGAAAAGTGTGAAATTTTTCTAAACGATGGTATTAGATTCTTTAATATTTTAAATAAAATTCCAATAGCAAGTGTAATCGAAACGTAAAATATTTGCATCAATTTTGAATAATACAAAAAGACTTGTTAGTTAATGTTACCGGTACATGTAAATTTTAACGTGTACCTGTTAACATTCGAGCCAACAGCTTTGTGTCAATCGAGGGATTGAAAAGAGTATAAACGTCTGGAGAAGTCGAGGAATTCGTTTGCGTCTAACTAAAGAAACGGACTGTTAGGTTCTTTTGCATTTCTTTGAGTCTATAAAGCATTGTCCTCGCCGGTCACCGAGTGCAGTAACCCGCGAGCTTTGCTTTGATAGACCGTAGAATTTCGTCTACACGAATTTTGTTTTTAATATTTCTCATACGAATAGATCGGATCGGATTTTAACGTAGAAGTGTACGAGTGTCGAAAAGTGTATTTGTCAAGGGGTAGCGAGGAAGTGCATAAAATATTTTGCCTTTCTTTAACAAAATATTAATTACTTTTCCTTCTGAATAATATTTAGCTTGATTATTCTCGCACGAAAGGAAAGATAGACGTTGGTAAGAAGGAAAGGATTTTTAATCGTAAGATTTACCTGCTCCATTTTTCCGCATAGTTCCACGTCAGTCATGAACGCGATCAAGAAACGATTGCAAACACTGAAGATTGAGAAGGATCTCGCGATGGACAGGGCTGATGTGTGCGATCAACAGGCGAAGGAGGCGAATCGACGAGAAGAAAAGCTGAGGGACGAGGTCCGGGAACTTGCAAAGAAGCTGGTGCAGATGGAGCGTGATTTGGAACTGAGCAAAGCTCAATTGAAAAAATCGAACAGGGACCTTGAACAGAAAGAAAGAGTGTATATCGTGGTTAGTAATTTGTTAAAATTGTGTGTAATATCCAAGAATCATTAGATTTTTACTGAAACCTTCCCCCTTTTTTTTTATTTCAACGAGGACAGACACAGTCAGAATTGGCGGTTTTGAATAGAAAGATGCAGCAATGCTTGCAGAACTTAGAAAAGTCCGAGGAACGTCGTTTGACGGCGCAGGCAAAGCTGGCACAGGCGATGGAAACGGCGGAGGATGCGAAACGGTTCGTTTTAATCAAAGAAACACTTTGCCAACATTTTCAGATTTCGTTCGATGAACGGTTTCTTCTCTTTCTTTAGTATCTGTAAAGTTTTGGAAAACAGGAGCAAACAGGACGAAGAGAGAATGGACCAGCTGATGGCTCAGCTGAAAGAAGCGAGACTGATCGCTGAAGACGCTGATACAAAGTCGGACGAGATATCTAGAAAATTAGCCTTTGTAGAAGACGAATTGGAGGCTGCTGAAGAGAGGGTGAAATCTAGCGAAGCGTACGTAATTATGTATAATAATCTTCATAAATTTCCTTCAATTTTTCCTCTCTTTTCTTAATAATTTATAGGAAGATCGTGGAACGAGAGGATGAACTCTTCATCGTTGGTAATATATTGAAATCCTTAGAAGTATCCGAAGAAAAGGTAGTACCATTGTGCTTTGTAACATAATTAAGCAACCGATTTCGTCGTTTTCATTTTCGTAGGCCAATCAGAGGGTGGAAGAATTCAAAGCGCAATTGAAGGAATTGAAGGTGAAATTGAAAGCTGCCGAAAAGAGGGCCATCATCGCAGAAAAGATGGTTAAAGTCTTTTCCAAAGAATTGGATGCAAGAGAAGGTATATTTTAACGCTGCTCTCATTTCTCTAATTATAATGATTATTTTAATATATTTCTCTTCGTTTGTGGCTTTCAGACTTTCTGTTCAGGGAGAAAGAGAAATACAAATATATCTGCGACGACATGGACTCCACGTTCGCCGAACTAACTGGATATTAGTGAAATTCTATTTTCTGTGTGTCCGTATTGTACTTTTTCTATTAAACAATCGTATTTGTAACAACAATCCGTTCTCGAGTGTCTATTGTACTCTTGTTACGTAATCGAATCGTGCTTGTGAAACGATTTCGTTGCTGGTGAAACGATTGATTGATCTGGTTCGATCTTTCGTTGCCAGAGGATGGGGCAAAAAGAATCGTCAAATTCTCGTCCAGTATCTTTACAGGATATCGATTTATTTTATCGACTCTACGATCGACGCAATGCTTCGAAACTTCGTAGCATCTGTTTAACACATCGTTTGCTCGATGATCGCGTGAAACAGAGAGAGAAAAAAATACGGGATTGTCGATGAGGCATTCGACGTCCCTCCACACATGGCTACACCACCATAGACTAGAATCTTGCTTCACTCTCGCACAATTCCCATTCGCTCCATGAGATTTCTTCTCTTCTTTTTTCTTTGCTTTTCTTATCTCTCATCTTTTATTATTGTATTTTTTTTTTTTTTTTTACAACGATGCTAATAGTAGTTACAGTAATAATTGTTCGTTTGATTTGCTCACTCCCCACGTCTTCGTTCGTTCGCAAACGCGGTCAAATCGGTGACGTAACTTCAAATACTGACTTGACTGAAAATAAACGTGCTTCCTCGTACAAACTCAACGAGAAATTTAATTAACAGATACCTTGTAATATCCAGGAGTCCAATATTCGGTGTCAATTATTAGCTTTCAAATGATCCGGAGTCTTTCTCGATAAGATTCGTCGCTTGAAAATATAATTTCACACGCATGGTTTACACCATCGGTCTGGATTCATCAGTGGAGCATGCGATTTGTGATTTATCAATTCAACTTCCTGGACTCGTGTCATTTAATTCGATAATCAATTACCTGATCCTTGTATGCACGCGAGTGCAACACGATGCATTCAGTGTATTTCGAGTTGTTCCAAGTGACGTCACCGCTTTAATTAAAACCTACCGTTCGTAGCATCGTGGGGCTCGATTGTTCGATCAACGATTAACGGAGAGAAAATGATTGGCAGTAGGATCCGAAGAATTCCTCGCTTCCAGTCGCGTTGGAATAAAGTTTCTTAGATCGATAAAAAAGTACGATAGAGTTCCACTTATTTGAACGAAATTGTAGCGTCTACGGTATAATTGTGCGCGAAAGAAATGGACAAATTTATCACGCGAAACGGTGTAAAATATTCGGAGCTGATCAACCGGAAGCCAGGAATTCTCAGAAGGAAAAACAATCGGATATCGAAAGAATCCGGATAAACGTATGCAGTCGTCGTTCTGTCGGACGTTAGTCGGTCGGTGACATAAGAAAAAATGTACAAAACTGTTATCGTTACGATAAAACGATACCCGTTTTCCGAATAAGGGTCTAACAAATTAATCGAACTCTACGAGTTTGATTGACGTGCTTTCTCGTATATACATTCATATATCGTATCGTATGTGTTGCGGTTACACGCGCTTTAAGTACATATATATATTTATATAAATTTATATATACGTATACCTATGCCCTGGTCTTCGCAGTGTCGCGCACCGATAATGGAACTTAAAAGATCATCGATCGTTCGATGATCATCGTAAAGTTTCTCGAAAAAACACCCATTCGTCCTACGGTTCGGAAAAAGCCTGCTAACGATACGAATGAAAAGATCATGTAACAATTATTATTTTGCCCGGAAGTAGGAAGTCGGCCAGTGAATTTGGCACGTTCAGAGTCGAGTAGTCAGCGAAATGGCAGTGTCGTGGAAGAATTGAAATTCGTCATCACCGAACACGATACGTGTAAACGAGTCCCGTTTAGATTCTAAATAACCCGTCGCGTTATTTTTACTTTCGAAATCAGTCTCTGAGAGGGTACGCTCGAATTTGTCGCGGCTCGAGCACGCTCTTTTCTTTCTTTGATTTCGACGCCCGATTACGCTTCTAATTAACGATTAAGAAATGATACGAAACAACGCGTCGCGCGAAACGATCAACGCGTCGTCTTCGGTACGCGAGTCTTAACGATTAAAGTGCGCGACATACGAAGATGGATATCGGTGTAAACGATGAACTTGTCGCGTCGAAAGGGACGCCAAAGACGTTAGACTAGCGTTTCTTCGGCAAAAATGTACAGAGCGGGAGAGGAACGTGCGACCGGGGCACGCACGGAAATAATGCCTTACTTAGAAGTCTTAGGATTAATAATGGACTTAAAGTAATCAACGGTGTTAGACGTACGTATAAACTTTACAATGCAACAGAGCCCAACCTTCGACGATAAATCATCGTCGTCGTCGTCGTCGTCGTCTTAACACGTTCCCTCAATAATTCTAATAGATGCGTAAAACGGTCAAATCGCCACTCGCCTTCGAACTCTCATCCCGATTCTAATACCACGCACGCACTGGACACAGGTGAGACCAGCGCGACCATGGAAAACGACGCTCTCTGTTTCTCGATATAATCGGCTGGCAGCAATGAAAACGTAATCTATAATTGATCGAAAGAACGAAGGGAATCAGTCTGAAGAATTTAAGAGGAACGCTTTTCTACGAACGTTGCTCGTTAAATTAATTTGAGAGTTGCTGACTGTCGCAACAACCGAACCCGGCTACGTGGCTGCAAAAAATAACAACGGACTTGTCTAGAATCTAAGAACGAGTCGTATAGAAGAGCGAGTACATCGTGACCAAAATAAATCCTGCCGGTTTGCATCGACAGTTACGCGTTCGTGGTAATTAATTGCGTAATAATTAAATCCTTCGGAATCTAGTAAACGTTTTCTCAATCTTTAATTCACCTGTTCTTCCATTCGTAGTTTCTAACCGGTTGAAAGGAGCAACGTTCGAAGAAGGTTGGAAACGATCGTGTCTCGCGTTTCAGGCGAAACTTCCTCGGTAATGATTTGCGCGGCGTCGTTTTCCACGACGAGCCGATTCTCGGAGGACTTTCCCGTGCTCTGTTCGTACGATTAAGTCTTTGGTCTCGAATGGGTCGCCAGCAAACGAGTCGCAGCGGTCTGAGCAAATTGTCGTTTGGCACGCACTCCTACACACGCGATTAACTCATTCAATCTCTTCACCATTCGCTCAAATTCATCTGCACGCACGCACGGATGTAATATCTCGTTATTCCATAGATAAAGAAGAGAAAGACAATGGTACGACAAGGTTCCGATTGAAAAACATTGCCGTGTATCACGCTTTTCATACTTTCAACGATGTACCACGCGTGTTCCTTCCTTCTCGTCAACGATTTCTCCTCGTTATCTATGATCGAGCCATCTGCCGTTCCCTAGCAACGAATATAATTCTTTAATTTTCATCTATAATCGACAGAGAGAAAATTGGAAACCGGACTCGCGTCCTGTCTTCTGTCTTTCTTCATTTTCTTTTTCTTTTTTAATCTAACCACGTCGGAAGATTCGACGAGACACCAGATAGAAGGATTCGTTTATCTAACTCTTTGGACCATGGGGGAGAAAAGGGTAAGGAAGAAGATACTTACTTGGCCTACCGTGGACACACGGGAAAGAAGAGGAGGCACACGGGACGAGATAGTGAACGAATTAAACGGCGATAGAGTAGTCGGAGGAAGGATTATTTTGGGTACTCGGCCTTGACCACAGCGAGCTCCTAAGACCGAGTTTCAGCTTCTTCAAGGAGTCGATGTCGCACTCTGCTTCGCTGAGCTCCGGCCGATCGGCGCGATCACCGTTCCCCGGCACAACGTTCCCCTGATTAGCTCCTACGAACGTGGTCTCCGCCACCGAGATCGGCGGTAATAGCGTACGTAGGGAGCTCCTGCTGGGAACATGCCATCTTACGGGATAGCCAAAGAAATGAACTTACTACGGGTGAAAATATGATTGATACTTATGTCTGAGTTGAATATACTGTATTGTAAACGATGATCTATGCGATTCTTATTACCTAATGAAAAACGGAAGCTAGATTACCTAGATCGTCCTCTTCGAGGGAGAGACTTCTGCTCTGACATGGGTGAGATGTCTGAAGAAGTGCTCGACGTACCGTGATAAATGAAGTCTGAAACGGCTCGAACTGAAATAATAATTTTCAAACATTACAGGATCCAAGAATAACTAATCTATTAATTGTAAGGATAGATTTACTATGTTTGAGTTTCCCAGCGTCCAGCTGGTTGGAAGACTCCGTGCGAGAGCTCGTCAGTTGATCCGGGTCAGACTCGCTCTCGTCGCTCTCGACGTCGCCCGGAGTTTGTTGCTTTCTCTGCTGTCGCCTCCTCGAAGAAACGCTCTTCATGCTCTGTAATTATCGTAATTGAATTGATTCCAATTTCAAACGAAGGACGATGCTTCGGGAAAGCGTATCAGGTAATAAATACCGTCGCGGCAGGTGGAGGGCTTGCACAGCCTTCGGTCATGGCGTGCTCGTGATACATGAAACTGTGTAGAAGCGTATTGTTCGGGTGGAGACCGGCCGCCGAAGCTTCCGCCGCGCTTCCCAGTCCTCCCAACCCTCCCAACCCTGCCAGGCTTCCCCCGCCACCCTCCGAAAGCTGGAACGTAGCGTACGGCGAGATGTCCTCCGCTGTCTCTGTAACCCATCAGAGGCATTGCCTACCTTTCAAATCGCGTCGGGATGAATTGTTTAGCTGTCAATCGATTTTCACCTCTATCAATACGTCTCACGATTCTACTTTGTCCGTATGATTTTTAATTTTCAATGGAAAATCACTGCTGTCTAAACCAGGTTCTTTATTATAGCACAAAAATAGAGAAACGAAGACAGCAATGACGCGAAACACGATTTTGAAAGACGAATTGTTACTCGAAGAGAACATTACGAGAATAGAACATTTCAAGTATCATTCTCATGATGTTCTCTGAAATAGAATGATTCTTCAGGGCACACTGCACTACAAGCTTCATCTAACTTATCTCATTAAACAATTTCCCGAAGTTCTCGTTAGGGAATGCTATAAGGAATACGAAACACAATGAATGGAAACAAAAGCGATGCATGAGAAAACATTCAACGAAAACACTGAACAGCGATCACACGAAGAGAGGCAACATAAAATAAAAATACAATGAATTGATGGAAAATGTTAGAAAATAATCCACCTTGGCTCGTGAATTTCAATCGATCGCTAACGGGTCTGTTCAGTTGCCGTCTGAACAGCGCTACGCGTGCGACTTTTTACCTGAACAACAATTATAGTACCAAACCTGGCTGTCGTCCGTATCGTAACAAAGGTTCACCTGGAATCTTGTCGGGCCCTGCACCTTGTTGCAAAGCCACCTTGTGAATCGTCGCGTAGTAACGTTCCCTTTGAGTCTCCGCGTTCTGTTGATTCTCCTGAGTCTCTTTCATCGGACGTTGCATTCTCTCTCCTAGATATCCTGCGGATATACGAATCGAAATGCGTGCGTCCAACTTGTAGAATAGTCTTCGTACAAACGGACAATACAACTTACTGCTTC